TGAAAAATAAAGGATTGAAGGTAGTGATATTTTCTCGTTTGCAGTGCACATCCAAAAAATCGTAAACAATTTCTTCTTCAAGTCTTGTTTATATAGGAAATGCATGACATGTCCTTTTGGAATATTGATAAATAGTAGTTAATGAACTTTCCAAACATTGAGATTCTTGTCCTTTTTCAGCCGTTACTTTTGAATATACATGAATAAAATGTAACGCTTCAGAACATGCTTGCTAAAGATCACATCAGAAGTTGAATGTTACCGTTGAGACTCATTTACTTCTTTCCAGAACATTACATATCAGGATACCAGAGTTCTTTGTTCACAGTGTTTAGTGCACCCAAAAGTTGTAACACCAGAACTTCTTTATTTAAGTGCGTTGCACAAATTACTTTTATGTAAGATGGTCATAATAGAGTTTTAACAATGATCTATCTCATCTTCTATGCTTCTTACATCAGAACTTCTCTGCAAAACGAAATACTTATTTAGGGAGCATAATTGTTCTTTGAGAGTTTGTTATCATCAAAACACTTACAAGGATGTAGAACTAAACTATGCTCTAACAACAATGGTCTTGTCTCTACCCAGATGACCATGCATGACTCAAATTAGCTTCTCTCTTAAAGAGGGTGAAGGAATGCATAGTCAATCCATTTTAAAAAGATAGCCATCTCAAATATGAAAATCTGCACAAGGAAGTTTTCCATAGGACTTGGCCCATAACTCCTTGAACTCAACATCACTTTCATACAACCCTTTCAAGACTTGTAACACTTGCCTTACATGCTGCAAATTCTCTGTCTTGGTCTTACTGTAAATTACAATATCGTCAAAATAAACCATTACAAAAGAACCAGTAAACGGGCGCATAACCTGATTCATCAACCGCATAAAGATGCTAGGGGCGTTTGACAAACTAAAGGGCCTCACTAACCACTCATACAATTCATCTTTGCTCTTGAAAGTTTTTTTCCATTCATCTCCAAATCTAATTCTGATATGATGATAACCACTTATTGAAACACTTTTTATAGGGTAAGTATTTGTTTTATCGCCTCCACAATGATTGATGCGATATTATCGTCGTTCTACAGTTGATAATGTTTTAAGTACGAGTTTGAAAAAGCTTTTGGTAACAGAAAGTAACGATTGCATGAAAAGTAAGTGACAACAGTAAAATAATTGAAGTTTAAACGGTTTAAAAAACATATCAAGATTAGATTTCATTATCCTATTTGATACATGTACTATTAATCGAGAATTTGAACTTGTTTATGATCATTATAATCATGTATTCTCTCAATACCGTTTATGTCTAAAGCGATATCATGAATATTATCATATTAATTACTAGATGATGTCTCATGCTAACAATCAACACAATAATCTTAGAGCTTCATACATGTGAATATCAACTCATAAATATATGTCTAGAGTTTGTTCATTGATAGTTGAGTATCTTAGGTAAAGGTTTGAAAAATATCTTTCAATAGTGATTCAAATAAAAAATATAACAATAAAAGCAAATATATTCATCTATATTGATCATCAACTAGTTCACATACACAAGATTAAAAGAATACATGTTATTTAGGTTAACTACCTCTGATCCTTACACAAAGAGTTTAGATATACATCATGTAGCTTGCTTTACAAGTAATAGAAGAGCGATGAATGAGCATCCAAGATGATTGATTGATCAAGAATGCATATTCAATTCCGATTAACCGATTAAATAATTTTTGTAACTTACTTTTTCTCACAAAATATTTCTAGGTTAGAATGTATGAGAAAATGGAAATTGGTCCCCAAAAAATATAACATGGACCTATTTATACACATGATGCTCAGACGAATTCTCTCAGCACCCAAAAGATTTACCGGGCGAATTTCAACTTTAAGCCCAGATGCCAGCACACAGACTCCTTCATGCTGGCCAAAAATATCCAGCTTCGTCCGGCACCCTCAAGCCTCGTCGGGTGAATTCCTCACTCCAAGCTCACTTCACGCTTGCCCAGCAAAATTCCCATGAAACAGAAAATATAGCTACTAGAATTTCAACAAATCTTCTCGCCCCAAGTTGGCTTCACGCTCTCCCACTGACATGCCTGGCCTTTTCCCAAAGCTCGCCAGGAAAATTTCCCCAGATAGCTTTGTCTTGGCTTTTCTTTCTTTCTACTTCACATAGACTTTCTTTTGTGGCCCTTTTGTTTATATTTTGCTGCATAACTAACAAATACATTACACATACCACAATTATCTATATTTGAGCAAAAATCAAGCAAACATGGAAACTTAAATTATCAAAAGCATTGAAAAGAGCTTAAAATTACCACATTTTAGAATGAAAATATAAACACATTTGACACTTATAAAACTCTCCCCAACTTGCGTCTTTGTTTGTCCTCAATCAAAGGTAAAACTCTAAAATAAACAAGGAGAAATTTTAATGAAACAAAATCAACCAGAGAAAATGTAAGGTTCAAACTCAATGAACACGCACGCACAAGCAATTCTCATTCGCTTTCTAGAATCAAAACATAATTATGACTTGAGTTATGAACACAAATATCAAACAATGCATACTCAAGTAACAACATGTTAATACTTGAATCACCTAACTCTCTCTTCATAAAATGGATGAAGAACAAAGTGCGAAAAATTACACGGGACAAAACTCTCTCACTAGCAACCTTGCTAACATCCAGATCAATTCATGCATTCATTTGACAAGTCAAAAATAAATCATGGAAACAAAGACCACTAAGGGCTTTCCAAGGTTGTAGCTTGGCTTGGTTTAACAACAAATGATCATATATAAGGCTATTGAAACAAAAATGGATTAAAATTATGAAGAACATTCCAAATTTGTACACATTCCATTCTTGCCCTTTTCTCAATTTCTTTTCCACCCTTTGATCTCTTTAATCAAAGTGCAATATTTCCTTTTATTCTAGATTCTCTTTTTTTCTTTTCTTTTCAATTGTTCTCCTTTTGTATTTTTCACAAAGATGCATTGTTCCACCAATTCTTTCTTTCTTTTCTCAAAATAACCACTCTTCCCAACTTTAAATATTTTTTTTTCTTTCTAAGAAAATGTTCTTCATTCAAGGGTATTTCAACAAAACGAGTTAAGTGTTTGCAATCAAGAAAATTAGAATGAATCAATAATGATGTTTTAATGATCAACAAAAAAATCACCAAGTGGTATACATAGTAATTTTTTTTATGTTTTTGATTGATTCACTTGAAAAAAAATTAACTCAAAATAGTTTAACAAATGCTCACACTCTCATAACGTAAATTGAAGCCATTTTTGGATTGTTTGTATTTCTTATCATAAAAACAAGTGCCTCAATCATTTTCATGTTTCCACAAATTCACCATGAATGCAAGATTTAACATGAATTAAACTAGCTAAAACAAAGATTATTAGACAACTTTCGCTATTTAGCGAATAATGAAAAGTCACTCATTATTTGTAGTTTTGTCCTAAATGATTCAAGCATGAACAAGCATTTGCATAATGATGCATGCCATGATTTTGCGTAAAGCATAAATTGAAGTGTGGGAAAAATACAAGAAAGGGGGTGTTGAACTAGGTTTTCTAATAAGCTTTTTCTTTCTAAAAATATTTCACAAGCTAACTAGAAAGAATATAACTAAAAAGACTATAAATGACTCTTTGGTTTATCCAGGTTCATCTTCAACACGATTACTCTTGTCCATCCTCCTCGGGTGATTTCGCCTTCAACAAGGACTTAATCCACTAATCTAAACAGATTACAAATGCACGGGTTACCTGCCGGTGACTAACCACAACCGTCTAAGAGTCCAAACTAACACCTTAGCGCTCTCAAGTCTCAGACTAACAACCTAGTCACTTAAGACAATAATCAATTCTAGTCAGAATTACAATCAATTGTGTTTATAATATTTGTTTCTAAATAAGTAGATGAACACAACAATGAAGAACAACGTCTCTAATACAAATAATGAACAACAACTCTTTGTATTGAGAACTCTAAGATAAAACACAAATAACGAGAAACAACTCTTTGTGTTTAATCCCTAATATCTTAACACAATAATGAGCAACAACTCTTGTGTTCTTGATATTACTCTAGAAGAATATTTATGGATGTATATGAATAGTGATTCTTCTTTTCTCTTGATGTTTCACAGTATTTCAGCAATTTGATTCAAGCTTGATAATAGTTTATAGTTCATCAATCTTCAAATGTTGATGAGGTCTCTTTATATAGACTTTGAGAATAAGACCGTTGATAGTACGAAGACGTCCTCATAATGTTCTTTCTTACATTTTGTTTTATTCGATTGGCGGTGCTATAAATATAGAGTACGAGTAAATTATTCAATTATCAACTCCAAATAGATTTTAGTTGATTATAACACTTCTAAAACCTTCGTAGACAGTGGCGGAGTCGGGACTCAGAGGTGCAAGAATATCATAACATGATTTATGATTTTTTTTTCGCGGAGTCTAATATACAATTATAAGTTAAAATTTGATATATAACAAAAAAAAAATTACATACCTTTTAAAATTATTTATTGTAAATTGATTTATCAAATATATACTTATTGAGCAAAATATTCTCTGATACTTATGCCTCTTTAAGTTTCTTTAAACTAATCTACGTAGAATCTTTTTTGAACTTTTATACTAACTTTCAATATAAACTTGCTTATCAGTTAAGATTTTTAATGCATTAAATACCATACAACTACTATTCAAAAACGTGTCTTCTTAAGTTTCCAATGCATTGATATTTAAAATGTGTCAGCTTTTATAGTTGTAAGACCATAAAGTTGGTGCAAATCTTTTATCTCAGGGGTGCAAGATTGACAAAGTTTATAATAATCTCAAAGTTTATGAACCCTGGTAACAAGATTGCACTTATATCGTAGACCTCAAGTGTATTTTGTACCCGCTTACACTTATATCCGCATAGAAAACTTTGATACTAGATTATCTATGTGTTAATCTCAACTTTGTTACAAAAAGTGGATAACACAAAAAAATTCTCTAGTACATCGGATATACTCAAAAGTTCATGGGAGCACATACTCACGATAAGCAATTGGCATAAAATTTTATACAACTTTTCAAATAACAAAGAACGATAAAAGGTTATTTCGTAATATGCAAGGGGATGAGACAAATTACAACACAACTTTGTTGAGTGGGGGAAGGGTTGAGAAAAACAGAATATTTGGCTCACTTTTGTTCTCCTTTTCCTTTTTCCCTTTGTATTCAAATGTGTGTCCCATTGTGCATCCTTTTGTAATGTCATCTTTATACCAAAGACCTCTTTACTCTTATAAGTCTAACTTTATAATAAAATAGCAAGATAAATATAGATGAGAAGAAAAGATAAGACATTGAGAAAATAAAAAGGAGAGAAGAAAAGATTCCAAAACCAAATTTGCAATGGAGTGGTTCAAGTTCAATGCCATGCCATGAGTTTGACAAACTTAAATCAATTTATTTACCTGCATGAGAAAAGATTAAAATTAAATAAGGAACCATTGAATAATTAATTAGATTTTTGCTTAAGATTATTAAGATTAATGGGAAGATGGTAAAAAGAAGAAATTATATGGAGTATTTACCCTGGTGTCCCTCACAGATCCTTCTCAAGAAAGCTAGAAAAATTATAAGTATAGCTACAGCTGCTAATAATCCAATAATTATGGCAAATGTCTTCTCACTATCATTGTCTGATTTACCTGCAAGACGATTCACCAAGAATCAAATAAAAGAAATTGTATTAATCTTGTCACTACTCAAGCATTTTGAGATTTGGGCCTTACCATGAGATTTGGAGTAAGCATGGGCTCCACCACCAATAGAGTACCTCGCGTAACACTTCTCTATAAACATATCTCCGTAATCCGCCGCAGGACAATCACTTCTCAGCCGTCGGATCGCCTCCAAAACACAATCCTGACACTCCAAAAAACTCAAATCCCCAATACACTGCACCATCCCTTTCACCTGACCCGACCCACCAACCCGAAAATACCCACCCGACCCGACCAACCCATCCAACACAGCATCTCGGTTACTCGGGTCATACCCGATTGAAGATCCACATTTCTTCAACACCACCGTTTTATCCTCCACGCCCAAAAACTTAACATTATCATATTTCACGTAACATCCGTCCAACTGCACTACGCCACCCCGGGTTGCCGGACATATGTCACCGGCGCGTGAGACAGCGCGTGATACGCAGGAGGCGCAGTCTGGCATGGAGAGGTCGCCGCGGCATTGGTAGAGACCGTAAACGACGTCGTTGGGATTTGAAGCGACGATTGTGAAGTTGTTGTAGGATGTGTAGGTTGCTGAGTTGACAAGTGAAGTGAGGAGGGAGTTGAGGTTGAACTCGTAGGGTGAGGTTGAGGTGAATGTTTGTTGCGTGCAACCACCGTAGATGAATGTGTCTGTGGAGAAGGAAAGAGAATGGAGAATGAAAATTGAGAAGAACAAGAGGAACGTTTTTGTTTTGACCATTTCGGTTGTTCTCAACGTTTGTGTTATGTGTGGAATTTTGTTGGAGAGAGAGAAAGAGAATTAGCTAGCTAGGTACGTAGAAGAGGTTGATAAATACATGCATGTTTTTTTTTTTGGTTGGAGATGATGCTAGATAGTGCTACTTAATCATGCCCATATTGCTTTGTAGTCATTCAGGAGTGAAGACTTAAGGCCTTTCTTATTTTGATGTAGGGATTTTCTATATGCTGCTGCGTGAATCTAAATATGTTGCATTTTCAAAATTAAATTTGATTTTTGATTTAGTTGGAAATAAGCCTAACATCTCATTCAAATTTTAAACGCTGAAAAAATTAATATATTATTATTTTTGAATTATATACGGTTATATTATATGTGTGCATTATAAGGAAGAATGGTAAAACAGATCGTTTATCTCGTTTTAAGTCTGTCAAAATAAGAGCGGAACAGACAAGTCTGATAAGTAGAAATAAATATAAAAATCTTGGTCAATATCGTCAATGTGACGGATTGGCGGGGGTGCAATTTGTCCGCCTATTTTTTTATTTATTTTTTAATAGATTAATAAGGTTTTTTATATTTTAATTAGATTTTTTACTTATTTTTTAGAATATTTTTTTATAAAATATCTCTTAAATAAATTTTACTTAAATTTTTTTTCATATATTCACAAATAAATGTATAAAATAAAATCATCAAAAATTAGAATTACTAGAATTAATTAAAAAATGCAGACTTAAAGCAGGACGAGTTTTGGCGGAGGCAGGATTTAGCGGGCGGCGGATTCCAAATCCCAACCTAATCCAACATTTTTTGATGGGTGTATGGACTAACCTAGCGGATCACGGTCTGTTTTGCCATTTCTATGCATATTTAAGGAGTTGTTAAATAAAGTGACATAAATGTTAATTAAGAGGTATTTGAAATATATTTTTTTTTAAAAAAACTTGATATTAAGATTTTTTTTATTATAAAAAAATTAAATTGAATTTTGAAATTTTAAAATTTTAAAATTTTAATATTTTAATGAAAATACATGAAGAATGATGGGCGGAATAACCTTATGTAATTTTTTTATAAGCAAAATGTATTTAGATATGAGTATAATGGATACTCAAACCTAATACAAATAAAATTATAAATTCATTAGGGATACAAAGTATCAAATTGAGGATCCAACCCCCTAATTTGCAATCTTCATTCCTTTTTGTTCTAGCTACAAACCATTTCCAAGATACTTTATTGGTGTGTCCTAAGGTTTTCTTCACACTCTTTGTCTCGCCCTTGAATAAAATACATTTCTCTTGATCCAAATGGACCACATGATGGTAACCAAAACATACCACCTAAGTGACCTTTGATTTTTCCTTGGAACTTCCTATGAAAAATACTATAATTCTCATCAATAATGTGTTGGAACAAAATTAGTTTGTACCATATCTCTTAGGTTTTGATGATAATGAAGTATTTAAAGAATAATTGGTATACTAATGTTTATTCAAGTGTACAAGAACATAGACTAAAATTCTGATTCAAAGTCAGTTCTAAAACGACATTGAACATTCAAGGAGGAGCTTAAATTACAAATTTTAAAGACCAGACTCTGAAAAATCAGCCTATGAAGAAGTCAACTTCTAAAGACCATAGTCTAAAGAAAAGTCAACCTCTGATGGATCAAACTTTGAAGATCCCAGACTCTGATCAGGTCAACATCTAAAGATCAAGTCAACCTCTGAAGACTTAGAGTCTGAAAGATCAGAAGCTATAACTCACACTTTAAAGGATCAGAACTTGAATTCAGTGAAAGCTCAAGAACCAAGGAAAGTTTGACAGGTCACTATCAGACTCTGAGGTCAATTTGTCTTCTTTTGATCACATGAAGACTTAGCAAATATTTGTAAAAGCCTAAAGAGTTGTAACTGATAATTCCTTTTATAGAAAAGAAGCTTCAAATGGCATTGCAATGGCATTAACCATATCAGGAAGCTTTGCAATAGATCTGATGATACTTCTCTCAAAGACTCACTTGTGTAAGAAGTTCTCTCCAACGACTCTTTTATGGTTCTCTATAAAAGGAGCTAAAGCCTTGGAGAAAAATATACAACGGTGCATTTTGACAAATAAAAGAGTTGTTACTCTGTCAAAAAAATTTCACAAGCCTAACTTAGGATTTCTTAACTCTTATATATTTTAGAAATCTGTAAGTCTTAGAGTCTTTTTTATGTTGCATTCTGCCTACACCTCTAATACATGTGCATAATGTATATCAAGTGTAGTTTATCACAATCTCTTAACTATTTGTTATAGAGTCAATAGTCTCTTATTTGTGTGCTTGTGTATTAAAGTCTCTTTCTTGTGTGCTTGAGCATCTAGAAGTTTCTTTCTTGTGTGCTTGAGAATTGTAGTCTCTTTCTTGTATGCTTGATCATTGAAGTCTCTTACTTGTGTGTTTGAGCAATTGGAAGTCTCTTACTTGTGTACTTGATAATTTATAATCAAATTTGATTATAGTGGAAATTCCTTAGAAATGCAAGGGAACTGGACTACTCCTGATTTGTGGGAGGAACCAGGATTTTATGTTCTCTATTTCTCCATTCTTTGTCTCTTAACTATTTTATCCGCTGCCACTCATCAGACTCTAACTCAAACTTATATCCTATATTCAGAATCCGATAAGAGTATTTCAAGATAAAAACAAGAAAAATTTAACACAATTCAACCCCATTCTTGTACTTTTCTCACCTTCATGGTGCTATCCACTCTATCCATAGTTATGCCTAGTCATTCATAATTCCTTTCATATTTTAACTATAAAAGGACAAGCCATAAACAAATGAACAGATGATTCTTCTTCTCCAAAACATAATGGACAAACCAAGTTATGGCGTCCATAAATGACACATCTTCTTTGCCATTCCACTATGGTAGGTAGTTTATTAAGTAGAAGATTTCAACCAAACAAATGTATCTTGCTTGGCACTTTCATTTTTCACAAACAACCTAACTCACTTTGAATATTATTAACCATCACCAACTTGCATTTAATAGTTCATTCATCCTATTGTAGCTAGCCTTTATAGAATAACCAGTATTATCTCGCCACCACACAAAATTATACATTTCCTCTTGTTTAAGTTTCACATCCTATAGAATGACAAACGAGTTTACAACTTGATCCATACCAGCTTTTTCCATGCATCCTTCATCTAAATAGATGTCTCGTCTCCAAGACTTATAACACCAAAAGCATATATTTGCTGCCTTAGAATCCATAGATTTTGCACAAGCAAGTAACTCAAGAAATAAATTGCCTAAGGAGTGATTCCTTAGTCACATAGTCTTCTAAAAGTCAATAGACTTGACATTCCCTAGCATTCCTCTTATGTTATTGGAGAACCAATTTAGATCATCCAAATGTGATGAGCCTATAAACCTTAGGTCCTTTCACCATAAAGAGTCATTCCTTCATTCATAGGGTACGCACCATCAAGAACCTTAAATTTAATTTCACCATATATATAGACCAACAAACCCATCCAAATTGCATCCTCCTCATTGAATATTCACCATTTCCACTTAGTGAGTAGAGCTAAATTGAATCATTCTCTATTCTTGACTCTTAGCCCCCATCTTCCTTAGCCTTGCAAATATTTTTCCAACTCACCCAATTGATCTTCTTCCTTTAACCATCTGACTCCCATAAGAATGATCTTTGCACCTTAACAATCTCTTGAATTACGACCTTTGGTGCCTTATAAAATGAAAAGTACTAAATAGTAAAGTTGTTTAGAATTGAATTTAACAATGCAACTCTACCACCAATAGATAGTTGTTTCCTCTTTCACGCAAATAGTGTTCCTTTGACCTTAAGCAATATAGAACTCCACGTGGACTTTCTCCTTGGATTAACTCCCACATGGATTCCAAGAGAATGGAACGGAATTGAATCAATCACACATGATAGAAAACTTGATGTAGTCTGCATAAAAGATGCATTCTCATTGATTCCAAACAACTTACTCTTGTGAAAATTGACACACAAACCTGTCACTAATTAAAAGTCGTGCATAATTTCTTTGATACTCCACAAATTTGTCTAAGTCCCCTCACCTATAATCATTGTATCATCTGAAAAAATACAACAGTTCAAAGTGAAATTCTTCATTGCTTGAACGCTTGCAACTCTCCCATTTGAATTGCATTGTGTACCAACCCTATCAATCCTTCATCAGCCAATACAAAAACAAATGGGACAGGGGACCCCCCTGATGCAGACCTCTATGTACTTGAAAATCCAATATTGGCCTACCATTGATTAATATTGACAAGTTGCTTGTGAAGACACAAGCATCCATCCTACCTAAACCACCTTCATCCAAATTTCATTCTTCTTATGATGTATCAAAGATAATCCTAACTCACACTATAGACTTTCTCAAAATATATCTTGAATGACATACACTCCCTCCATTACCTATTTGATAAATTCACAATCTCATTAAGCACTAAAATCACATCAAACATTTGTCTACTTTGAACAAATACAAATTGGCATGTGAATATCAATCGATCATTACTTATTAGAAATTATTCTATATAAACTATCACAAACATATGAGACGAAACTCATCAATCTTTTTGAGGGATCTCTATTTTTGAGATCAGAATTTTTTAATGACGATCAAACATATAATTTTAATTCACATCACAATCATATTCTAATGTAGTTGCGAAAGCTACCGCATCAGTAATATTATGGCTGCAATTACGATTTACTGAATACAATTTAAAATCATAGTTGAATGTAAGTTTAATTGAACTTTAAATTTCTACTTCTTTTTAATTTACAGCTAAATAATTTGATTGAGACTGTTTTGGTCTATTTTAACTTAATCAAAATTTGAATTTGAGTTTAATTTTAAAAAGGCAGTATTGTTTAATTTTTTAAGGATGTAATTTGAAGAATTGATCTCTACCGATATAGATAGAAAAAACATTTA